TGTTAGATTTGATATTCTGGATTATTTTCATATTTAAATTATTCAAATAATATAATTTATAATATAATTTTTTTTTCTTAGATTTTATATTTCACATTATTCTCATATTTAAATTATTCAAATAATATAGTTTATATTTTTTTTCTTAAATTCTATATTTTACATTTATTTTTATATTTCATTTTTTTTCAAACATAGTTTAAAATTTTTCTTTATTCTTTGTTAGATTTTACATTATTTAATTTTATTTAAATAGTATAGTTTATAATATACATTTTTTTCTTAGATTTTATATTTTATTTATATTATTTCTATATTTAATGTTATTAAAATAATATAGTTTATAATATTTAAATTTTTTGTCTTTGTTAGATTTTATATTCTGGATTATTTTCATATTTAAATTATTCAAATAATATAATTTGTAATATAATTTTTTTTCTTAGATTTTATATTTTACATTTATTTTTATATTTCATTTTTTTTTTCAAATATAGTTTATAATTTGTCTTTATTCTTTGTTAGATTTTACATTATTTTCTTATATAATTTTATTTAAATAGTGTAGTTTATAATCATTTTTTTTCTTAGATTTTATATTTTATTTACATTATTTCAATATTTAATGTTATTAAAATAATATAGTTCATAATCTTTAATAGTTTTTTTTGTAGATTTTTTATTTTACATTATTTTCATATTTAATTTATTAAAATAATATAGTTTATATTTTTTTTCTTAGATTCTATATTTTACATTTATTTTTATATTTAATTTTTTTCAAATATAGTTTATAATTTTTTTCTTTCTTTATTCTTTGTCAGATTTTACATTATTTTCTTATTTAATTTTATTTAAATAGTATAGTTTATAATATAATTTTTTTTCTTACATTTTAGATTTTATTTACATTATTTCTATATTTAATCTTATTAAAATAATATAGTTCATAATCTTAAATTGTTTAATATTTTTCTGAGATTTAATATTTAAAATGTATTTTATATTAAAACATTTTCAAATAATATAGTTTATAATCTTAATTCTTTCTTTGTTTTTCTTAGATTCATTATTTTCACATTATTCAGGTTGAGTTGCTCGCTATTGATGCGTTCGCTGACGCATCGGCCATCAGAGGAAAATGGAGACAATTTATAAAGCTAAAATCTCAATAACAGAAATAAATAAATTCATTTTGCAATGTTTTATTGATAAAAGTCAAAGTTATTCTAAAACCCTATCTTTTATTTAAAAGTTTTTATGGTTTTGTTTAAGGTGGCCCTTTTTTTTTTTCTTCCAGATTTCTATTAACAAATCATGACCTTTGACCCAATAATGGAACCAAATTCTCTTCATAGCGGAACCAGATCTGTTCCACATAGTCACCCTGTTAGTGAAATAAAGGAAAACGTTATTCTAACATTTGTTAGATCCAGAAATCTGCGTTTATCGCAGCTTTTTAAAGCCCATTTCTGCCGTTTTTTTTATTTTTCTGTAACTTCTGGTTCATTTTTCAGGTAAAATCCAGGTGAAAAGTTCGGACATACAAGTCGGAGACCTGATAATTGTGGAGAAGGTAAGTGTTACCTGTTCAGATCTGCGTTTCTATGGTGATGGATGTGCGACTGAGACGGTGGGTTTATGTCAACTAATCCTAATATTCTCAGAGGAAATCAGCAGCAGTCAGGAAGAATCAGGATGCCGTCCTTTCATGTCTGCACAGCAGATCAGCTCGGCCCCTGAAGGGACAATCTTTTTTTAGAGCGGTCAATATCTTACCAGCCATACGGATCTCCTTTGGTGTTGTCCTCCAACCATTAGGTCATTTTGTCTCACTAATATAAACCGGATCTTTAGGTTTTAAATGATGAGTAGAAGGTGATCAGAAAACTTCAGGCGGCCTCTGTGGACCAATCAGAGCAGAACGATCACTGTGCTTATTTAAATCCTTTATTGTCCCCTAGGGGCCAATTCATGTACAGGGGAATCCATAAAATCTAAACCTGACAATAAACAAAGAATAAATAAATTTAAAACATTACAAAAACAAACCAGGACTGGAGGCAGAATAACAATCTAGACCAGGGCTCTAGATCAGAGGTCTTCAACAGGGGGTCCGCGACCCCTAGGGGGTCCGCGGAGGTACTGCATGGGGGTCGCAAAAGTTTTGGTTGA